ATCCAAACCGCTAAATCACCCTCAATCCCATGCCTCCGTATTTTCTGCAATAGCCTACCATGGGGAACCTTATCAAACGCTTTACTGAAATCCAAATACACCACATCAACCGCTTTACCCTCATCCACCTGTTTGGTCAGAAAGTTGTTGAGCCAATCTAGGTGAATCTTTCTCGACCAATTTCAACCCATCAAGCTTGGACCCGAGCCTTTTACTACAATCGCTGGTAACTGAACGAGCTGCTCCTTATAAGAGACCGGAACTGAAGTAGTGCCATTAATCTATAAAAGGTTCCCTGGTGTAGGTTCCCAGTCTAACCAAGGTCTTTCGCAAACTCCAGGGTCCAGAGTGAATTTTGTCAAAACGTGGTTCTGCAACTACTGATATGCCCACACCGGTATCAATCTCCATGAGAACCAGATGACCATTTGACCAGATGTTTATTTTGGTTCTGATCTGGATGTTGCTAACCAATTTAACTATTCCAACTCAGCTGTAGGTGGAGTTTCCAGGATATGAATTCTCCTGGATACCAGCCTATGAGTTACCCTACTCTACTCTGGTCTCGTAGGATTCTTTAGCTGTCTCGAGTCCACATACTGGCAGCAACTACAATGTCTTGCTGGCCTGAATCCTCAAAACTATTTAACTGTTTGGCCAAGGCTTGGTTTTGTTTTGGGATTGTGAACAGGATATGTCCTGTGTGAGGCAATGCAATTGCCTTCATTCAAGTGATGTTCCTCAAGCTCAGTCGGACTGACAAGGGTGTCCACTTCCATTGAAATTCCCTGCAATTCACATGCTCTACTTGCAGCATTTTCCAATGATAAAATGAGTTGTTGCACCTATTTGAAGTCCAGTTGGGCTTCAGCTAGTCAGTGTTTTTGCATAGTTACATCATTACTCCCACATACAAAACACTCTCAGAGATAGTAGGAACTGCAGATGCTGGAGAATATGAGATAACAAGGTGACAAGGTGTAGAGTTAGATGAACACAGCAGGCCAAGCTGCGTCAGAGGAGCAGGAAAGCTGACGTTTCGGGCCTAGAGCCTTCTTTCTGAAGAAGGGTCTAGGCCCGAAATGTCAGCTTTCCTGTTCTTCTGATGCTGCTTGGCCTGCTGTGTTCATCCAGCTCTACACCTTGTTGTACCAAACACTCTTTCAGCATTTCATTTAGGGTTAAACCAAAGTCACAGGCTTCTGCCAGTCGTCTTAACCTATTCAAAAATCCCAATTCATATTCCCCTAGTTCTCGAATTGCTGATTGCATTTCAGAATTAGAGGCGACTTGGGGCCATAATATTCCTTAATATGCCTATCAAATCTTCAAAGGTTTTACTATCTGGTGCCTCAGGGTAAGTCAGGCTCCTAATAACAGAAAAAGCTGCAGCTCCACAGGCTGTCAAGAAAATTACTTGCTGCTTTTTGTCTGCCACAATGTAATTTCCCCAGAAAAAATAATGCATTCTTTTCACATACTGGGCCCAGTGCTTGATGGCAAGTTTGAACAAGTCAAGCTTCCCAAACAAAGGCGTGATGTAAGAAATGCTTACCCCAAATCAAAGATGACTGTTACAAGCAAGCTTCTTCAGGATTGTGCTTTACTCTTATTGTCACTGAAATAACTCCACAGAGATTGGCATCCCATCACTAAGTCACCCTTTATTTATATATGGGCTGTCCTTGACTTTAGTACTGCCTCATTCAGAGTCAGCTCTCTGAGTGGCAGTATCTCTGACACTCCTCTTTTCTTCTGTCATCAAGGGCTCTCTGATTGGACCAGATTAACGGCGCCAAACATGCATCTCATATTTTCTGACATCCGGCTGGCTGATCTTGTTACAATCTCTACACTTTGAACTTCCCATTAGTATGAATGAATGCAGGAGAGGATTTAAGTACAATTGCCATCACTAGAGCAGTAGTATTCGACAAACTAATAGAGCTAAAGGCAGGTAAGACCTCTGCCAGTGAAGGCTTACATCCAAGGATTCTAAAAGAAGTAACTACAGAGACAGAAGGGGGCTGTTTGGCCCATCCTGTCCATGCCAACCCAAGAACACCTAGATGCCCTTTCTCATCCCATCTTCTTGCACACAGCCCACAGCCTTGCACGAGGTCAAAAAAAGGCAAAATAATTTTAAATAGTTAAAATTACCAATGATTAGAGGTACTTACTACATACATAGAAGAAGGAAAGCAGTGAACACACTTCACCTTGATGAGAAACATAAAGCAATATTTGGGAGAAAACGAGATTTTGTTTTTATAGCTGGGATGGGGGGTTTGCAGCAATAGTATTTGGGGTAGCAGTGAAATAAAGGCAGGGATGGTATCAGAATGGAGGAAGGAGAAATAGTAGAAACAGAATAAGGGAAGGCACTCACTGGAAGAGAAGTTGCAAAAGGAGGAACAAACCAAAGAGATAGCTAATTCCTAAACTGAATCCATTTGTTAGAAGAATAAATTTCAGCAACATTGTTTTGCAAAGATTTGTGTGACTATAAAATATATTAAAGGCAAACCTCTTTCCACAGGGTCATAGAAGTAGCCATTATCCCGAAGAGTACTGAAAACTGTAGGAATTAGATCAGCTAAATATGTTTGGGCAAATGCACGGGCTGCAATCTTATCTGAAGTGTCCTTCTCCTTCTTCAGCACTCCCTGCTGTTGTGCCATGCGACGTTTCTGTAAAATAACACACAGGACTCCAACATATACTCGTTGATAAATACATTGACTATTTTTGGCCACAGTTATCTGATACTTCATTACCAAGAACTTCAATGGATTAACATTTATTAGCAAGGTGCAGCTAACAGTATGGAAGATACACTGTGGCACAAACAATGGTAATGAACTGAAAATGAGAAAACTAAAATTACTTCCACATAACTCTTGGTATCAGGTTAGAATCTTGTTGGTTGAAGACCAGCAAAAGGATATCTTACCTCATCCAGTACCTCAGATGAAGTATGCTGCGTACAAGGTGAAAGCTACAGGACTTTTGTTACAAACATCAGGGTTTTACCCTGAAAAATGGGTCCAATCAAAATCATAAAAAACATCTTCTGCAACTATAACCTAGAAAAACTACCCCCACTGGTCCTTCTTGCATGCTCTGCAGTTACTGAAGTGTTATGTTCCTCCAATACCTAGCTTTTCTTGTCCAGCTGCGGGGAGCTGCTTTTATTTTCTTCCTCTCTTGCCTATTGAATCATAGCCAGGAAATCTCCAGCAATGGTCCCATAATGATGCCTTTGGAGATGCCAGGAATCCTTACTTAGTTCACTCCATTTCCCTATCTATATGCAAAATCATGCTGAGGTACAAAAATACATCACTCTACCTCTCCATGAACTTTCACTGTCACTGTGTTGATTATTCATATGTACAACATCCAGTCTTGTAAGGGCTTTTATTATATAAACTAACAAATTGATGCTAATATAAAACTCAGTAACAAATTCAGAATTATTTGTCATTAGTGACAACTTGCATTTATATGGCACCTTTAACAGAGAAACATCCACAGGCATTTCATAGAAGCGTAAACGCCTCCCTCCATCACTGAATTTGTTGTTATTTTGAAGTGTTCTCCTCTGGTTATTTATTCAATTATTGTAGCCATTCATAAGTGGATGCAGTAGGATCGCAGAATGTGGGTTTGCAGCCTCAATTGTGGGATTACTTAGCTACACTTAGATATTTCTGCTGCATGCACTACTGTGTTATAGATTTCCTACCATGAACGATAGAAGTGAATCAGCTGGGTGTTGAATAATATTAAACATTTGGATTGCGGTCATGAGGAAAGCTACTTAACTCCACATTTATTAGCTGAACTTCAAATTTTACAGCAATGGTGGGAATTTCTCATGTTCAGTTTCTAGATTTCTATGTTTCTCAGGGCAGTTTCTTCGGCCTGACTATCTTCAGCTGTTTAAATTATTTTCCATCACCTGAAGATCAGAACTGAGATGTTTGCTGATGATTGTAGAGTATTCAGTAGCAACCACACCTCCTCAGATACTGAAACAGTCTGCATGCAACGAGGCCTCAAGAACATTTAGACTTGGGCTGACAAATGAAAAGTAATATTCACACCACAAGTGACGAAACAGGTTCCAACCATCTGCCCTTGAGGTTAAATTGCATTAGCATAATTGACTCTCCCATAAACAACATCTTGGAGATTGACCAAAAAACTAAACTGGACCATCCATATGAATACTGCAATTACAGGGATAGGTCAAAGGCTGGTAGTTCTCAGCAAGTTAATAACTTCCAATATTTGTTGCCCATCCCAAATTGCTTGTGGGAAGGTAATGGTGAGCCGCTTTGTTGACACACTTGTCCGTAGAATTATACAGTATAGAATAAGTTATTTGGCTCATCAAGTTTTGAGTGCCAAAGCTACTCTAAATCTACACTAGTCCCACCTTCCAGCTCTAGGGCCATAGTTTTGAATGTTATGACATTTAAAGTTCTCATCCGAGCACGTTTTTAGGGTTATGAGGTTACCCCTCCCCCTCAACTACCCTCCCAGGGTGAAACCCTCAAATCCCATCTAAACCTCCTGCCTTTCACCTTAAACATAAATCCCGTTGTTAGTGTCCCTTCCACTAAGGGGAAACGTTGCTTTCCATCCACCCTGCCCATGCTCCAGACAATCTTATGTAACTCTATCATGTGCCCCATCAACCTTCTCTATCCAAAAAAGATATCCAGAGTTTATCCACCTTCTCTTCATAGCTAAAATGCTCTATCCCACACAACATCCTGATGAATCTCCTTTGCACTCTATCCAGTGCAATCATGTCCTTTTCAAACTGCAGAAACCAGAAATACACACAGTACTCCAGATGTAACCTAAGCGCAGTTCTGTACGGTTCCAACATAGCCTCCCTGCTCTTATTATAAGCTTATCTGCTTTGACTGATAAAGGCAAGTATCCTGAATGCCTTAACAACCCTACTAACCTGCCCTATTATCTTCAGGGATTTGTAGACAAACACGCCAAGATCCATCTCTGCTGTTGAGATTCCTAGTGACCTGTCATTCATTAGTGCATCACTTCATACTTACCAGTATTAAATTCCATCTGGCACTGAACTGTACATCTGACTAATCTGTCCATATCTTCCTGTAAACGGAGACATTCTTCCTCATTGTTAATCACCTAACCAATCTTTATGTCATCTGCTCCCCACCCCGCATCCCCATTCACATTTACATCGTTTATATATATCATAAACAACTGAAATAAGGATCAGTGCTGGATCCCCTTCGTAGGCCACCGGACACTAGCCTTCAGTCACATAAACAGCCTTCTATCAACTTGGTCTCCTGTCACTAAACCAATTTTGGATCCAATTTGTCAAGTTACCCTGGATCCCATATGCTTTTACCTTCTTTATCAGTCTCCCAAGCACATAAAACTACAACAACTACTCTACCCACATCTGTACACTTGGTCACCTTCTCAAAAAATTCAATCAGATTTGTTAGACATTATTTCCCTCCGAAAATGCCATGCTGACTATTGCTGATCAAACTTTACTTCTCTAAATGGAGATTAATTTTCTCCTTCAGAATTTTCTCCAATAGTTTCCCCAATCACTGATGTGACACTCACTATCTGTAATATTTATCTTTACCACCCTCTTGAAAATGGAACCACATTAGCTTTTCATAGAAACTTTTTTTATAGAATCCCTACAGTGTTGGAACAGGTCCTTCAGCTCAACAAGTCCACACCGACCCTCAGGGTATCCCACCCAGACCCGTTCTCCAAACCCATCTAACCTACACATCCCTGAACACCATGGGCCATTTAGCGTAGCCAATCCATCTAACCTGCACATCTCTGGACTGTGGAAGGAAACCGGAGCATCTGGAGGAAACCTACGCAGACACAGGGAGAATGTGCAAACTCCACACAGACTGAGGGGGAATTGAACCCAGGCCCCTGCCGCTGTGAGGCAACAGTGCTAACCACTGAGACATCATGCCACCCCCAGGAGCTGTTCTCCATTCCTCTGGCATCTGCAATGTGGCCAGAGGAGAATTAAGAATTTGAGGGCCCCTATGATTGCCTTTGTCATCTCCCACATCAGCATGGAAATCATCCAGAGTTGGGGATTTGTCCACTTTTAAACCTGCCGAAACCTCTTTAGTCCCTTTATCAACCCGCTCAAAAACCTCAGAGTCCACTTTCCTGAATTCTGTACCTACATCCTCCCTTATTCTGAGTGGAGACAGTGATGAAGTCTCATTTGACACTGTACCGATGTCCTCAGCCTCCATGGACTGATTTCCCCTTTTGTCCTGAATAAGCCCTAGTCTTTCCCTGCTTATTCTCGTCCTTTTGATATACCTGTAGAATACTTTGGTATTCTCCCTAATGTTACCCACCAGTGTTTTGTCATGACCCTTCTTTGTTACAAAGAACAAAGAAAAAGAAAATTACAGTACAGGAACAGGCCCTTCGGCCATCCAAGCCTGCACCAACATGCTGCCTATCACAACTAAAACCCCCTACCCTTCCAGGGACCGTATCCCTCTATTCCCATCTTATTCATATATTTGTCAAGACGCCCTTTAAAAGTCACTATAGTATCTGCTTCCATGATCTCCCTCGGCAGCGAGTTCCAGACACCTACCACCTTCTGTGTAAAAAACTTGCCTCGTACATCACCTTTGAACCTTGCCCCTTGCACCTTGCACCTTAAACTCATGGCCCCTGGTAACTGACTCTTCTAGCCTGGGAAAAATCTTCTGACTGTCCACTCTGTCCATGCCCTTCATAATCTTGGAGACCTCTATCAGGTTGCCCCTCAACCTCCGTCATTCCAGCGAGAACAACCCAAGTGTCTCCAATCTTTCCTCATAGCTAATGCCCGCCATACCAGGCAACATCCTGGTCATTCTTTTCTGAACTCTCTCCAAAGCCACCACATCCTTCTGGCAATGTAGCGACCAGAATTGAACACAATATTCCAAATGCAACCTATGGTTCTATAAAGCTGCAACATTATCTGCCAATTTTTAAACTCAATGCCCTGGCTGATGAAAGCAAACATACCATATGCCTTGTTGACTACCTTTTCCACCTGCGTTGCCACTTTCAGTGACCTGTGTACCTGTACACCCAGATCCCTCTGCCTATCAGTACTCTTAAGGGTTCTGTCATTTACAGTATATTTTCCAACTGGATTAGACCTTTCAAAATGCATTACCTCACAAATTTCCAGATTAAACTCCATCTGCCATCTCAGCCCAAGTCACCAACTGATCTATATCCTGCTATATCTTTTGACGGTCCTCATCATTATCCGCAATTCCACCAACCTTTGTGTCATCGGCAAACTTACTCATCAGACCAGTTACGTTCTCCTCCAAATCATTTATATATATATATATATTACAAACAGCAAAGGTCCCAACACTGATCCCTGAGGAATGCCACTAGTCACAGCTCTCCATTCAGAAACGGACCCTTCCACTGCTACCCTCTGTCTTCTATTCCTGAGCCAGTTTTTATCTATTTTGCAAGTTCACCTCTGATCCCATGCAACTTTACCTTCTGTATCAGCTTGCCATGAGGGACCTTGTCAAAGGCCTTACTGAAGTCCATGCAGACAACATCCACTGCTCAAACCTCATTGATCATCTTTGTCACTTCC